CCGATCTGGGTGACTCCGGCGTTGGGATAAATATGTCATTCTGCGCAAGAACTTTACTCTCAGCCTTATGCGTGTTGTTCAAAGCACTACTCAAAACCAACCGCAAAGAAAACATGGCTATGCCGAACTTGTCAAATTTGCTATGTTACACGACGTTCTTCTCGTACAACTTGAATTGTGCGACAAACGGAAACGAACAGTATATTTGTACTGTTGACGGGCGATGTGTTTGATGTAAGATTATGCTGTATGCTGCACAACGCAAGTGTGCTCTATCGATGCTTTTAGAGTATGGAAGACTGTTGTTTGGTATCATAGACACAAACGTATCGCCGAGATCGATAACTGAGTCTTTCCGAGAGCCAGTGCCATGGGCACAAACTGATCATCTTTTCAGAACGAGACATAGCACACGTATCCTCGTATTTTGGAAACATAAACTCTCTGGCTCGATTTTTTTCTGGGATCAACTAAGAAGAAAGATGTTGAGCTTGAGGAAGGAAGAAGAGTGGAGGAGAGAGGGCAGCTTATATAGCCATCCACAGTCACGAGCTTCCAAAGTCGCATATCCATATGATCATCCCTTTTCAGCGAGTCTCAACTCAAACATTCAGATATCGTATACTATGTAGAGAACAGAAAGATCTTTTGATGGTGAAGTATGAGCAGGATGGTACCGAAAGGCGGAGTCATGGTTGGTCTCTTCCTCATTTTTTCGGAGGACATAAGCAGGAGGAACTCAGGGTTTTGAAGTCATGATAATACCGATCCTCATCTTTCGAAAGAGGAGAGAAAATCTGGGTATGTGGGGGGAAGAGAGAAGAGTCGGTTGCGAGGTGCATTTTAGACCATGTATCGTAGCGAGCTTCCAGGATTGCATGAGTGATGGCTCAAGCTACTCGTGCGACTCTTTCCCAAACGCTGCAATGCCGTGTCCCATGTAAAATGTGGAATATCTTTTGATTATGAAGTATGAGCCGGACGGTAACAGCGGGCAGAACCATGGAGAGTGGTAGTCGATCTTTTGAGAGAGGATACAACGGAGCAAAAAAAGATCTCAGAGCCATAGCAGCATCGAATTCTTTTTTCGAAGAAAAGAGGAAATTTTGAATGTTAAGAAGAGAAGAGAAATGAGCTCGAAAGACGCCTTTTATACCCTCCACACTACCCGCTAGGCCCATCAAAGTATCCAAGATAAAGCGATGTGTTCATATATCATATTCGATGCTCGCATAACACATAATAACCTTCTCACACCCCCATCCAAAACAAAGCAAACAAACTTTTCGGTCCTGACCAAGGGTGCCATCTTCTCCAAGACATGGTCGGGGATCAAGCAACTCGTAGGGTATACGCGAAAAGATCAAAACGCCCAGAGCCCAAAGGAACACGCCGATGCAGCTATGCATGCTACATCTAACCCTCTTCAGTATCCATCGTGTCGCGACCTCTCCCGCGACCGCCGCCACGTCCTCCTCTTGACCCACCTCGACCACCGCGCCCACCCCTGCTGCCTCTTTGCTCATGGTAGTCTTTCATTTCTCTGACTGCGATCCTCTGCGCATCACCGACGCGCTCAGCGTACACCATCGCTTCGTCTTTGTTGATGGCCTCTTCCGGGATCTTCTTGCCCAGCGCATTCTCAATCCTTAACCAGATCTCCAGATCGTACTGTGTAACGAAGGACACAGCCTTACCCGACTTTCCCGCTCTTGCAGTTCGACCAACACGATGGACGTAAGTCTGAGAGTCGCTTGGCAGATCGAAATTGACGACGAGATCAACAGCGGGGATATCGAGACCGCGGGCTGCTACGTCGGTGGCAACGAGGATGTCGCGGCTCTTTGACTTGAACTTGTTGAGGGCACCGAGACGGGCGGACTGGCCTAGTTGGCCGTGTAGCGGGATGGCGCCGAAGCCGAGGGTGCGGAGGAGGATGGAGATACGTTGTGTTTCATTGACTGTGCGGGTGAAGATGATGGTCGGGTGGCCAATGTTGTCGTTGAGGAGGTGGATGAGGTAGAGATCCTTCCATTTGAAGGGGAGGAAGATGTAGCGCTGGAGTAGGGTCGAGACGACTTGATGCGAGGAGCTGCTGATGCTCACACGGACTGGGTTTTGTAGGGCGGCGCGTTGGAGACTCTCGACCTTGGAGGACATAGTCGCAGAGAATAGGTATGTATGTCGTCCTTCCCGAGGAAGTACCTTCAGGATCTTGTCTAGTACGGGGCCGAAATCGAGGTCGAGCAGGCGATCGGCTTCGTCGAGAACCATGTACTTCAGATGCTTCAGACTGAAGCCCTTGGTGTTTTCCAGATCTACGCGGATGTGGTCAGTACGGATGTCACGTATGGTTCGTATATGTGCATGACTCACGATCAAGCAAGCGTCCAGGTGTCGCTACTACGACGTGCGGTTTCTTGGACAGTGATATGGCCTGCGGCACCATATCCATTCCTCCCACCAACGTCGCGCACTTGACGTTGATAATGCTACCCAAAGCATCCACCTGTTGTGCGATCTGGTATGCCAACTCTCGTGTCGGGGCCAGAATCAGACCAAACAGTGGTTGCGGCTTCTCGAGCAGCGACTGAAGGATAGGTAGGACGAATGCCGCCGTCTTTCCAGAACCCGTCTCGGCCAATCCGATTACGTCCCTACCCTGAAGGGCCAGAGGTATAGCTTGTTCCTGGATAGGCGTCGGGTGTACGTATTTCAAGTTTTCGACTGCATCGCAGAGCTCTTCGCGCACGCCTAGATCGGCGAAGGTCTTCTTCGGTTCGTTCGCGGCGGGTTGCGCTTCTTCGCTCGTTGCGTCGGCGGTGGTAGAGGGCCTTGCTTGATCTTTTGAACTGCTGTCGTCTACTACATCTTGGGCTTCTTCGGCATCGGTTGAGTCCCTCTCTTCGGCGTCATCGTCATCGCCGGACTCGGATTCTGGTGGTGGTGCAGGCTTCTTCTGGACTTTCTTCGCAGGTGCATTCGATGGTCGCACTTTCTTCGACGACGCACCGGCGGCGGTGGTCGCGTCTGCGTGGAGCTTTCTCTTCGTGACGCCAGGCATGTTGTGGTTGTGATTGTCGAGTCTGGAAAAGTTGTGCGACAGAATCATGGTACCGCGGTTCCCAACCAAAGAAACCGCGAAATCTTGGCGGACCCACCTAAAAGTTCGAAAGCCGGCGAGCTCTAGTTTGCGACTGCATGCGACGAACTCGTTCACTCAGCAACACCACAACGCTCTCCTCTGGCTTACTCGAGTAGAGATCACGATCGCAGCGCAAGAATCATACGCTTAGTCATCTACAATACCCGTCAATACTTCAACTTGGTCAGAGACAACTGAGTTTTCGCAATGGCTCGTGGAAAAGGAACCGCGAGGAAGAAGCAGTCGGTGCGCGACAAGGAGCTTTCCAAGAAGCCGATAGCGGGAACACCGAAATCTATGGTCATTCGTATTGGCGCGCAGGAGTGAGTCTATTCATATCGAGATATATGCCAACATGATTGCTAACGAAATCTAGAGTAGGAAGATCTGTCTCAGACCTCGTAAACGATGTGCGCCACTGCCTGGAGCCCGATACCGCTATTCGGCTGAAGGAGCGAAGGGCGAATAAGCTGAAGGTAATGCATACATGATTTCCAGTATGACCTAAGCTAACAGCCTCAAAGGACTTCCTGGTCATGTGTGGACCGCTAGGTGTCAGCCATCTTCTCCTCTTCTCCCGCTCAGAAGTCGGCAACGTCAACCTCAGACTATGCCGCGTCCCCCGCGGACCTACCCTCCATTTCCGAGTCGAAAACTACAGTCTCTGCAAAGACATTCTCAAGTCCATGAGACGCCCACGAGCTGGCGCAAACGACTTCCTAGTCGCGCCTCTGCTTGTCATGAACAACTTCCTTACCAGCGATGCGGAAAGAGAACGACTCGGCGACAAGGCACCTCCTAAGCATTTGGAGAAGCTTGTGACAGACATGTTCCAGGGCCTGTTCCCGCCCATTCAACCGCACACTACGCCTCTACACTCGATCAAGCGCGTCCTCTTGCTCAACCGTGAGCCTCCCTCGGAAGAGAATGGCTCCGTTACAATCAGCCTGCGACATTACGCAATCACAACTAAGGTCACAGGCGTGCCGAAAGCCATCCGCAGGTTATACGCAGCCGAGAAGCTCATTGGCAGCAAGGAGAAGAAGAAGAGCGCACTGCCTAACCTGGGAAAGCTCGAGGTAAGCAGTAACTCCCCAAAACGCATATAGAACATCCACTAACTCCACCTACAGGACGTCGCAGACTACATGCTCGACCCCTCAGCCGCGGGCTACACATCCGCCTCGGACACCGAACAAGACACCGACGCCGAAGTCGAAGTCGCGCAACCCGTCCGCCAAAAAGTCCTCTCCCGCAAAGAAAAAGAAAAGCTAAAAGCCGGCGACGAAACCTCGCACGCCCGCGCCCGCGGCTCAAAACCCCGCGTCGAGAAGCGTGCTGTCAAGCTCGTCGAACTGGGCCCCCGCATGAAGCTGCGCCTGACAAAAGTCGAAGAGGACGTTTGCGGCGGCAAGATCATGTGGCATGAATACATTAAGAAGAGCAAGAAAGAGGAGCAGGAATTAGAGAAGAAGTGGACACAGAGGAATAAGGAGAAGGAGGAGAGGAGACGCGTTCAGAAGGAGAATGTGGAGAAGAAGCGCAAGGAGAGGGCTGCTGCTAGGGGGGAGACTGGCGAGGGCGAGGGCGAAGGAGAAGAGGATGAGGATGAGGAGATGGATGATGATCTTTTGGATGCGTATGATATGGATGATGACGTTTGGCAGGATGCTGCTGATGCTGGCGAGGAGGAGGATGAAGATGAGGACGAGGAGATGGAGGATGAGTGATGTGGTCTTATAGAAAAGTCTTAATGATACCCTGAATGTTCAACACTTCATCTTGAAGTACAACCAATCCATGACACATCTCTATCGAGCGGGTATCAAATCTCATACAACTTACTCAAGTCTCCTTATCCCTTCATCTTCTTAATCAAAACCCTCTCCCCATCCGCACTCAATTCCCAGCCCACCCCCTCCTGCACCAACTCCTCCCAGCTCCTCTCCGCACACCTCTCCACAAACGCCCTATCCGCACTCAAGTACGCCCTTCCCAAACACTTAAGCGCATGCACCCTAACCCCTCCATCCGCCCACTCCATAACCCTCCTCTGATACCCATCCACACTCCTTCTCACCCGCCAAAACCCCACGTAGTCATCGGCTACCAGACACTGCAACACCTTCTCCACGCGCCAGTCTTTATACCCATATCGTAGTTTCGTGGCGCGCGCACCCGAGTAATCGGACTGCCGGCATGCTTGGTCGAGGATCAACAGGCCGACGACTTCGTGCAGGGTCGATGGCGAAAGCGGGTTAACGGGGTGGATCTTCCCGAGGAGAGAGAGGAGAGAGGGCAGGTAGGAAGACCAGTCGTGGCAGAGGATGCTGACGTGGATAGCGAAGGTGTAGGCGCGGAGGGCGAAGGCGTCGGTGCGTGAGGACGCGGTTATGGCTTCTCGTAATTTGCGGAGGGAGGCGAGGACGGTGGAGAGTTCTTGGATGGAGGGCGTGAAGGCTTTTTGCGGTATGGGTTGGTGATGTGGTGTGTTGGTGGATGTTGAGGCGAGGGGTGGGCGGGTGGTGGGTTGTTGACGGGCTTCTGGGGGTGCGTGTTTGGAGAGGGAGAGCGAGGAGAAGGAGGATGTGAGTTTGGAATTCGCAGTGGGCGCTGTCGTGGACTTGGTCGTCGTGGTCGTGTCGGGAGGCGGGATGCTGACGGATATGAAGAGGCGGTCGAGTTCGTCGCGGTTGAGGGCGCAGAGTTTCATGTAGCGTTCTATTATGCGGTTGAAGTAGATTTCTTGTGTTTTGAAGTCGTTCAGCCTAGGGAGTCAGCCATTGCGAGCGGACGTATGAGAGAAGAGATATCTACCGTGTCTCTCCTTTGGAAGGGAGTCCGTATGTCTCCAGGACATCTTCGCGGACGGGCTTGAGGCGGTTCCAGGCACCTGAGGCGGCGCGACGGCTGCTGGGTCGGCCGGGATCTGAGGACTTCATTGCGCTGGTGGTTGGGTGGAGGGTTCTTATGGAACGCGCGGGAAGTCAAGTAATGTCAAAGACTCGAACAACCATGACTGTATATCACCTAGCGTATTTGCGATACATGGTGTGTGGTGGTGAAAGCAACCGCGCTCGAGGGCTGGGAAGAAGGGAAGGTGGGATGGAGGGGCAGCGCACGAGCTCGACGCGTCGGAACACCTTTGTCTCGTGACAACAGCGAGACCACTGACGATGTTGCCCATAAAGAGCGACTGCGCTGTCAAGGTCATTGCTTTGCTTCAGAAGCGACGTGTTGCTCTCGCAAGCCTGACCGGACGCGGCATAGTCTACCTAGTTCGCGTGTGGTCCCTGAGGGTATTCGCGGACTCTCCGAGGCCGCTTCATGACATGTGAACTCCCAACAAACACTCATATATTGCAGGCCGCCCCCTCAGTTCTGAATTCAAAGATTCACATCAGATAATCCCATCATGGAAGCAGCCAAGGAAGCAACCTCAAAAGCCGCGCAAACCGGGAAAAAGCTGGAGCAAAAGGTTGAAGAGAAGTTGATACTACTATGGGACGAACTCTCGCCATGGCAGCAGGATAATCACTACATTCAATCGGGGTACCGCGCTCAATCCAACTCATTCGTCAAGTCCTGGAAGAGCCTGGGGTACCTACACAACGAAACCGTCAACATCTACACCCATCTCATCGGAGCTGTGATGGCTGCCATCTCCTCCATCGCACTCTACAACACGTTGGCTCCTCGCTATGACACAGCGACTCAAGAAGATGTCTGGGCCTTCAGCTGCTACTTCGCAGGAGCTGTAGCATGTCTGGGCATGAGCGCGACATATCATACGATACAAAACCACTCGCATGAAGTCGCTGTCTGGGGAAACAAACTCGACTATCTGGGCATTGTCTTCCTCATCTGGGGCAGCTTTGTACCCATTGTATACTATGCTTTTGGCAGCGAACCGGAACTGCAAAGAACTTACTGGACAATGATCACGACGCTGGCAGCCGGCACATCTGTCGCAGCAACACATCCCAAATTCCGCACTCCGGCATTGCGACCCTTCCGAGCACTCATGTTCGTGCTCATGGGACTTTCCGCTGTCTTCCCTGTACTTCATGGCGTTCGACTGTACGGTGTCGAACATCTGCGCAAGAGCATTGGGTTGGATTGGGTTCTCTTGCAGGGTGCGCTGTATATCGCTGGTGCCGCTATCTATGCCGCGAGGGTGCCTGAGAAGTGGAGTCCTGGGAAGTACGATATCTGGGGATCGAGCCATCAGATCTTTCACGTCTTGGTTGTTCTTGCGGCAGCTAGTCATCTCGTGGCTCTGGTGACCGCATTTGACTACGCACATACGCACGGGATGGACAAGGTGATAGATGGTATGGGAGGCAAGATTTGGACATGAATACACGATGGTAGGGCAAAGCGCAGTCAAATAAAATGCTTGACACCTTCAATAACCGCGTCAAAGGCGTAGTCCAGTCTTCGTCAAGACCCTATTTAGAATGTCATGCCGTGAAGGAAGCGATCGACAAGGATGTATTTCGAGAACGCGCACAGACCAGCCGATGACGCCGTGGCTCGATCGCCAGCCACCTTCCCCATAGATTGCACAGATTGGCGTTTGTGGGTCAGGGCAGCCAATCATGCCTCAGCACCGCAGCTTCCGATCTTCGAGAGCTCTTTCCCAGCACTCAGGTTCCCGGCTTCCATTCTTCTTTCCTCTTCTACACCGCCCGTCGCGTCTCTTCCCACTACTTGCGCATCATTTCTACGCATCACCGTATCCATTGCACCTTTACGCGCATCAATTGCTGTTCCGCCCCGCTTTCGCGACTTTACACGCGGTTTTGCGCACCATAACGTCATCTCTTACCACCTGCCACGGCTAAGCTACGTTACACACAATGACCGACACTGAGATCCAACAAGGAGATAAGGGTACGTGCCTCTCAATTCTCAATCCGAGACCCCTTCAGCCGTTCAGTGGCTGCGCATCGCGAGGTTCCGCCAGGCGCATTGCGCTCACTGGCGCGTCACGATTGCCCATCCGCGCGCGTGTTACTTGCCGCGATCGGTATAATCGCAAAAGACTCTAGAACTCAATGCTAACGTGTGAACAGTCTCATGGAACTGGGGCTCCGGACAGCCCGGTGGCACCGCTGCCGAGGTCAAGGACCAAGGCGAGATTGCCATTGAATCCAAGAAGGGCAACACCATCAAGAAGAATGCCTCGCCCGACAATCCCGCTGTGCACGTCGAACGCTCTGGCAACGATGTCGTGAAGCGCGCTTCCGAACTCCAGATCGACGAGAAGGCCGGTGGCGCTAACGGCGACTCCAAGGAAGAGGAAAAGTCGGCAGAGTCAGAGAAGAAGGATGACGACAACTCGGCTGACTCAGATAAGAAGGAGGACGAGAAGACCTCCGAAGCCGAGAAGAAGGACGAGGAGATGAAGGACGCGCCTGACAGTGAGGAGAAGAAGGAAGAAGCGCAAACCAACGGCGAATCCAAGGCTGAAGAGTCCAAGGATGAGTCCAAGGAAGAGTCAAAAGAAGAGGCCAAGGACGACGCGACAGAAGACAAGTCCGACGAAAAGGACGAGGAACCCCAGGCCGGCGACAAGCGCAAGGCCAACGAGCTAGCCGCGGATAAGACCAACGGCGCCGACGCTGACGCCGACGAGAAGCCCGCCGAGAAGAAGGCAAAGACCGACGAGGCTGACGACGATGAAGCCGAGGATAAGGAAGAAACCGAGACAAAGCCTACCCCCAAGAAGGGCGGCCGTGCCAAGAAGGAGAAGAAGGAACCCGCAAAGAAGAAGGCACCCAAGAAGGCTGCCACCGCCGACGGCACACCACGCCGCAGCGGCAGGACCACCAAGAACACCGCATCAATGGCGGAAGACTAGATGCGCAATACGGTACGAAAGTCTCCTCATACGTTCAAAATGCATATAGTCACGGATGGCGACGCAAAGGATAACAATGAAACGACCATGGAAAATGGATACTGGGTGGAATGGAAAAGGATTTGTATTCATCGGTGGCAGGCGCTCAAAGTGATGGATTTCGCACTCTTATTTCCTTTTTCTTCGGCTCTGCTTTTACTTCGGTATCGTACGTCTGCTTTTCTGGGCTTGTATGTAACTGTAAAATGGAATGAATCAACAACGTAAACAGTAATGGCAAAATTCCACGTGCTTTCTCTTTCTGCAGAAATGCTCTGATGGCGTGTCATCAATGAGATGGCATGGACGAAGACGGAGTACTTGTAAAGATTGCATTGCATGATATATCTATGAACTTCATCTACATCTGCTTCCGCGCTCACTCCAGACCCCCATTTGCTTTTCTGTAATGCATGTCAGCAATCTGCCCCAAACGTAATGAAGGGACGTGACATGTATGTGTAATCTCTCATTCAGACAGGAAATACTCATTCAATAAAGGCCGTGAAACCTTCTCCGATCCGTCTTGAAACTTGTGATTTGTATTGTGATCATCATTGCGAGATGGGGGTGTGGGGAATGTAGGTAGAGAGATGGGTGGACTTACTTGGTTAGAAGGAGAGCTGAGGGCTTGAGGCGCAGAGTGGTTGGCGCTGCGGTTAGTTCTGGAATTGTGGCTACGCTAGGTCGTGCAAGGCGTCCACAGCGTCTGACGTAAATTTCGCGATGTATTGATCGCGCGCAAGACGCTATTATTGAAGAAGTCAGCAGATCATGTCGTGGCTGCGCCGGTGTGTTGAGGGCAGAAAACGGGTGAAGCTGCGAGAAGTTTTGAAGCGAGAAATCTTGGCGAGGCGCTGGGACCATTCCTTGTCCGTGCCTCCCCCGCCTTCCATCGCAACACAACTCACTTCTCTCAACATGTTTCCGACCGTCACTAAGATTGCGAGTCCCACGTCTTCTACACGGCTGAAGGCGTGGATTTCATGTCTCGTCGGCTTGGATGTGCTGCTCATGAAGTGAGCGTACCTTGTTCCTTGACGGCCCGCGCTAGGACGACAATAGCACACGACTGCACATAGTCAGGGAATGCCCTTGCACAGCAACGCTCCCTCACGATGCGGCTACTGCACGTACGCACTCTAGAGCTGAAAACTTTTGTCGACAATATCCCACCATATGCCATACTCTCTCATTGTTGGACAGACGAGGAAGTCGTGTTCTCAGATCTAGCCGACTTGAAACAGGCCAAGAAGAAGACGGGCTTTGCAAAGAATGAGAAGACATGCGAACTTGCGAGCAAAGATGGCTTTGACTACGCATGGATTGATACCTGCTGTATCGACAAGAGTAGTAGTGCTGAACTTTCTGAGGCTATCAACAGCATGTTTGCATGGTACCGAAACTCAGAGCAATGTTATGCTTATCTCGCCGACGTGGAAGTGCAAGAAGCATTTGCACAAGGTGAAGCGGCGAAACATCGGAACACCTTCTGGCTCAGCAAATGGTTCACGCGAGCTTGGACGTTGCAAGAGTTACTGGCTCCTAGTAACTTCCAACCTCGTTATCTCCCTCACTGGCCATACGATAGATACGATGGCATGAAATTCTACTCGCGCGACTGGCAACTTCTTGGAAACAAGGCCCACCTTGGCATACTTATATCGGACATCACTGGCATACCTATGGAATATCTCGAGGGCCAGAGTTTGGAAACCGCAAGTATCAGTATGCGGATGTCATGGGCTGCAGACAGGCAGGCCACAAGATCTGAAGACATCGCTTACAGTTTACTTGGTCTCTTCGATGTCAATATGCCTTTGCTGTACGGCGAGGGGAACACAAAGGCTTTTAGAAGGTTGCAGGAAGAAATCATGAAGATCTCTGAAGACGAGACGCTCTTTGCGTGGGAGGCTCCATACCGTTGGAAGCCTCCCTATCGCATGGATGAGCTGACCGTAGACGTACTTGCGTGTAGTCCAAATGATTTCCGGACAACACGAATTTTGATACCGTTCGCTTCGGATGATCCTGTGCCTCCTTCCACAATGACCCACAGAGGCCTACGTATTACGCAAACGCTCTTTCACACTCATCAGATTGATAAGTATGGACGAGGAATAATTCGGCCTCTTCACTCCTCAGACATGATCTGGCCGAAACATCACGACACTGTTTGGGGGATCTTAAGATGCCACGTGGTTCACGACTTCCAGCACCTCGTAATCGTCCCTTTGCTGCATTTATCCGCTGATCTTTATCTGCGGGATCTCAGCACTAGTGTTTCACTGATCCCATTCGGTTGCATACCTTCCTCTGCGTTTTCCAGAGAGATCTACATTCGGGACGTTCGTACATCTACCATCCTGAACAATTCCCGTCGTAGATGGGGATTTCTTGTTCACAAACCTCCAGAAGGCATCAAGATACAAAAATGCTATCCCAAAGAAGCCTGGGATGGGAAGGACAACATTCTGCAGGGCAAGGGCAACGGCATTAGACCTTCGTCCTGGCACGCAACTCTAGTACTGTACTTCACGACTATGACAGGGCAAACCACGGGACGCATGGTCTTTGTATCCATTGGATGCAAGCATGAACACTTGGCAGAGAAGCCACAACCTTGGTGTCATATCGATGATACCATCTGGCAGCAAGGTGAGAGGACTACGCATGAGATCTATAAAAAGGCCTCGTCAGAGCCTTCAAAACATGACGTAAGGCGATTCGACATAGGCATAATGCCCAGGATAATCCTCAGCCTCAAAGTTTCCATCACATCAGCCAAAGTCCTCTCTCAAGACATGTTCGTCGTAGACTTTCATTGTGCAGAGCTCCCGGCCAATTCCAGTAAGGCCTAGGGTAATTCACATGGACAGCTATTATCTTCTAGTACAGTTTACTCGAGTGTTTCGATGCCCATTCCCATCAATAACAGAATCTAACGCTGAAGAATGCGGAATTGTACAGCCCAAACTCACCGAAGACGTCCAGAATGGAGATCGATGGTATTAGCACGAGCGAACTACATCAAGTCAGCAGGTTTAACGTACGGAGAAAGTAATTTACGCACCTTGGTCTTGTGCACTAGCTTCCATATGATGATCGGAACAATGAAAAGTGGGATGCCGATATACGACGCGATGAAATCGCCCGTACTCCAGTTTCCCTTTAGGAAAACGGGGAAACCAGTGATCAACGTGATAATAGTGGATCCGATGAAACCATACCACGCGGTAAAAGGTTGGAAGGGGCTCTTCCAAGGCAAGCTATCTCGGCTGAGTCCTTGCGCTTTCATGGCAGCATGGAAGCGAATGAAGCAGAAACATAATGTAGCCCAGGCGATCAAGCCTGCAACTGTGCTTAGACTCACTAGCCACCCAAAGGCTTGTGCGGCACCCCCCTCTCCCAAACTGAGATATGCGAGAGGCCCAAAGAGCCAAGAGGCAAGGACTGCGTAGTATGGTACTCCGTTCTTCCATGTGCGACCGAAGATTTGTGGAAGCTGGCGATCTGTGGTCATCGCAACGATGATTCGGGATCCGACCCAGCAGTATGAGTTACCTGCCGACCAGGCAGAGATGAGAATACAGGCGTTGACGATCGAAGGCAGTACGCTTATGCCGGCTTGTTTGATCGCAATGACCCATGGCGAGGAGTTGGCGTTTCCAGTGCCTGATACGAGACCGGGGTTCCTAGGGTCGACGATAATTCCAATCAGAAGAGCGCCTAGGATGTAGAAAAGGGCGATGCGAAATGTGACCCGTTTGGCCGACTTTGGGATGGCCGAGTGTGGGTTGATGCTCTCAGCAGCAGTGATGACTACCACCTCGACACCAATGAAGGAGAAAGCTGCGTTGACGAACGAAGCTAAGAATCCGAGGAAGTGACCTGTTGGCCCAGAGATGCCATTGTAGTCCACCCATGCGCCTGGATTGTTCCAGTAGCGGAAGCCAATTGTTTCGCCGTTTGGCGCGCCTCCGGAGGTAATGACGATGGAAACCAGAATGAGACCGAGGAAGCATGCAATCTTGATTGCACCAGCGACGACTTCGGACTCGCCGAACCAGCGGACGCTAAGCAAGTTGGTAGCCAGGATGAGAACCAGACTGATGGAAATGACAACAGCAGGCGACATATCAGTCCAGTATCCGACAAGAATAGCGGATGCCGAGCATTCGGCAGCAATGGATATAGTATAACAATACCCATAGCTGATAGCGAGAGAGAACCCAACCGCCGGATCAATGAACCGACTCGCAAAATGCGGAAACGAACCAGCAGTAGGAATCTGATGCACAGTAAGCAATTATCCCTTGAAATCCAAACCCAAAGAGTTACAAACCACAGTAGCCAACTCCGCAATACTCTGCATAACACACCAAAGCACACTTCCCACAACTAGATACGCAAGTAACAGACCCGCAGGCCCAGCACTCGCATACGCAGACCCCGTTCCGATGAAAAGACCCGTGCCAATCCCCGAACAAAACCCTATCATGGTAACATGGTAGTTCTTGAGCCGCCGCTGCGTAGCACCATGTCCACCAACATTGAGTTGCGGCTCGAGGATCGGTTTACCGTCGTCGGAGCCATGGTGGTCGATGTGTGGTGAGCTTTCGATGTCGTGCTGGTGGATTTGGTCCAACATTGTCGACTATGATGTGACCGCGGAGACAGGGCTCTGGGGTATTGTTGGAGAACGCACAGGCGGTAGTGTGGCGGGGATGTGTACCCAGGTATTGTCAGGGACCGCACTATGAAGCTGTCTTGGTGCTATGTACTATACTTGCCCTTGTGTTCGCCCGTCCCTGAAATTCTTTTCGGCGCTATCAAAGCACGTCATGTAAATCTGTTGTGAGCCTGGACCACCATGTGGTGGCGCGGAATGTAGTTGGGAAGTACTATACGAATACCTAGGTACCCATCATGGTGCGTGGTTTTGTAGGTTTGAACCTCGCCGCAGCGTCTAAGCGGCTAGACATCTATCAGGCATTATCGATAGACTTACTCAGTTGTAGACCCTTTCTTGACAGATGTAAAGCGTAGCCATGTGATTTGTTAGATGGACTAGTTTCCACTAAATCGTGAATTTTCGGAAGGGGCCGATCTTAGCGCGGTGAAGTTTTCTTGATGTTCGCACTACCAGGACTGTTTTACGCTAGTTCGGTCCGCTCAACAACAGAATTGTGGGTAAGATCATAGCGTGCTTGTTTCCTAGCATGACGATATCATCTATCAAATCGCTCAAACCTTTACTTTCAGCGTCCAACGCCTTCCCAAACATGCCCACCGACTGAACAAGAAACTGATCAGACTCAAACCGAGGATCGCGCAGAAGAAGGCTACCATTGGCTGGGGTCCAACTGTTTCAACAAGCTCTCCACTGATTGGAATGCAGACCAGCGTCGCGAGGGACGCAATGAAGTACATGCTTCCATAGTATCGACCAAATTCCTCTGCCCTGCAAAGCTGTCCTACGCATGCGGGTGTCAGCGCCATCCAGGATCCTGTTCCGAAACCGAAGAGCGCTGCGAAAGCGTACAGTGCCGGGAGAGATGTTGTACCAAGCGGCAACCACAGAGCTAGCATCCAGAGCAACGTGAAGACGATCATGATGAATAGAGTGTTGAATCGACCAATCTTATCCGCGGCATACCCGGGTAGCAATCGGCCGAGGCAGGAGACACCGTTGAGTACCGCGATGAGGTAGAAGCCAGTATCAGGTGGGAAGTTTGTACTCAGCGTTGCGTAAGTAGGCATGATACCCAGTCCACCAAAGAGAACGACCTCGAACCCGAAGACACTCAACGTGAATAAGCTCAACCTCAGATCGCCATAGATAGAGAGTGAGATGATGGCTTTCTTCTTTGCGGCGGCAGACGGCGGGATGCGAGCTTTCATCAGGATGTTGGCGATGATGAAGCAGAAGAGGAAAACGAAGCCCAGTATCCGGAGCGACCATGCATAGCCGTACTTCGGAAGAGTAGTTCGCAGGACCAACGGAATCGTCAGGCCACCAGCGGAGCTACCCATCATAGCGATGCCTTGCGTAAGACCCCGTCGCTCCTTGAACCAATGCGCAACTACTGCGAGACTCGTAGTCGTCAGCATGGCGCCGGAAAACCCTCCCAGGACGCCACAACAGAGGATCATCTGCCAGAACTTGTCGCATTCAGCAAGCAGGAAGATCATCAGGAGGAACATTACACTCCCTGTCAAAGCGATCCATCGCGGCCCATACCGATCGAAGAGCGGTCCCACCCAGATGCCCAGCGCAAGTGACAGGTAGACAAAGACCGACGGGATCCATCCGATGTCACGTGCCGACATATACGAAAGTTGGTTCTGACCCCAGTAGTCCTGAAGCGTGCCAATAGACACCATGAAGCCGAAAGAAGGGAACAGCATCAACCATGCCGATGCGACAACGAGCCACGCGCGCAGCCCACCTTCGGGGAAATCGTCTTCGGCGTCCACAACGGGTATCCCAGGCTCTTCGTCTAGCTCGTCGATGGGTTGCGTCCGATGCGACCGTGTGCGCCCATGCGATCTAACTTCCATCTCGTGATGCGCAGACTGTTTCGCCTCGCTGCCCGCCTTCGATCGACCCGTCATCTTCGACACCGTCCTCCTCAATCCATCCCAAATCTCATCAGGCTCCTCATAAGCATAGGGTCTTCCGTCGCTCGTGGTCGGAATGTCCTGCATCTGGACAACAGGGTTGGCGATTGGATCCATCTTGAACGAAAACCCCTTCTTCTACCCTTTTATCGTCTTTCGAAAGATAAACAACAGCAGATTGCGTCAAGCGCTCGTAGCGTGGACCAGATAGATGTCTTATCCGTTCGTTCAGAAGTTTGGTCGTCGACCACACCAGCCTACCGTGCCTTATACAATAGCGACAACACCCGGATTCGCATGGCTCATCGAGTAGAGTAGCTTGGCGCAAAAAACGCATCTATGACAGCGACCAGACGCATAGGGCGTGTTACCGCTCGATGCGCCCTACCCTATCGGCGGAGCGACGGTTAGTGGAGCGGCGTGTCTGGGCCTGCCCCGCCTTCAACCGTTGATTAGCATCTTCGGAGCTTTTTGGCATACTCCGATTATTCCTAGATGCACTTGCTCGTACTCCGAGATTGCCATGGTGCAGAAAAGGGCGGAAGGCGTGTGAAGTTTGTCAGGGCGCGGTGTGGGCTGGGTTGGTCGAAATCGTGATTTTCGCGAGGGTTGCACTTGCGATGCCGGCACAAGGCTGCGGAGTCGGTGGCTGGTGCATTACTAAGCCAATCTTGCAATGACTGAGGTGAGTGCGTCCCATTGTTCTACAATGCTACTACAAGATTTTCGCTTTACTACTTACAAGGCTGCGCTTCACTCCGGTACAGCCGTAATGACAGAGTGATACCTCACCTCGTCATAACAATGCACATCCGCGATCTTCAGTCCCGCGCTCTCCAACAACTTTGTCCAGTCCTCCCTGCTCCGCTCGATGCCGCCCAGCGACGCCATCATCGCAAGATCCATCATAGCGACCTGCCAAGGCACCTTCGTCTCCGGTAGCACCACCTCATCGATCAAGATGCGCGATTCCGGACCCATGGCAGGAACGATGTTTGAGAGGATGCGAATGCAGTCTTCATGCGTCCAGTCATGCATGATATGCCTGAGATAGTAGAACTTTGCTTCGCGAATAGGTTGCGGGGTGAAGAAGTCATGGGCTTGGAACTCGATACCGTCCACGTAAGGCGCATGCGTAAGTGTTGAGGGCACATCCTGAACGACGATGCGACCGGGTAGTTCGGGAAACTTCTTCTTGAATGCGACGGCATGCTGGCCAAAGCCTCCGCCAATGTCGACCAAGAGGGCAGAGTCGTTCGCGGGCTTGAAGTCGCCGACAACGTCTTGAGCAGGGTATGAAGACACCCAGCTATCGACAGAGTCGAGCACCATGATGTGGCCGAGTGCTTTCATCTGCTCGCCATCCTGCTTCATCCACTCGAATGGTGTGAGGTCCGTCTTCATGGCCGCATGGAAAGGCAGGTCTTTGGAATCGGTGATGTCCTGGTACTTGTGCTTTTTCAGATAGCCAGGCAGTGCTTGCATAACCGGCAAATGGAGTTTCGACAGATGCGGCGCGGCGCCGTTGACGTGCGGGTTGGCGAAGACGCGCGTCGCACGGTTTGCTGCGAAGGTATTCTTCTTGACTTCTGCGATGAGTCCGAACGATGCCATAGACCGGAGCAGATGTGCGAGTAGATTTGGCGCTGCGACAGTCTTCTGCTGGAACTCATTGTGGGTTACTGGTGTTGTCGATGAGGAGAGCGTGGTAAAGATATTGAGATCGATACCGACATCGATGAGAGCCCATTGAAGAGGCTAGGGATGATTTAGTGAACGTGTGTCGTATGTAACGGATAGGGGAGACTTACTGCCATAGCTAGGCTGAACATCATCTCCCAGTCGCTGTAGAGATCCTTCTGTAGGTCTCGGATCTGTTCCTGGATTTGTTGTCTTTCTCGGGCATTGCCCTTGGCGTATGCCTGGCGGATCTGGTCTGCTGCTGCTTCCATGATTGTGGGCTTGAAGCTGTACACTAGGGTTTATGCTGGAAGGAAGAGGCGTTGCAATTGCTGAGTTGATTCACATCCATTTGGCGGGCTTCGATCTTTATACTCCACCTCTGCTCGCACGACTGTCTCGGTTTCCTCGGTCGTACATTCCGTCTTCCGCTCAAGAGCTTTTTGTTGACCGATATGTGCGACATTCAGGTTGGTAGGGTGGAGATGTCCGTAGGCAGCAGCGAGATGGCCGAAAGGCCCGAGAAGACCAGTACGGGTTCCTCCAATGCACAATCTGCTGCTGGTACCTTCCAGAAAGCCTTCTCTCGGCTTTTAGGTTCCCTTTGGATACATGTTAATCCATCCACGATGGATTGAGGCTAAACGATGATGGTGAGTCCCATTGCCTAAATAGGAAGGTTTTGCTTGGGTGTAGATGACGGCACTCAATGACGCCAAGGTCGCCAATGTCCGGGTTGGCCCAATGTCCCCTATGACGCCCATGCCTGCCACGCCTAGCATTCATGTTATGCTCACCACGCTCGTCCAACGCCAGCGACCTCTACTTCACCAAAGTCAAACCTCGTAACGCAACATTACACTTCCAGTATAAAGTATCCTGAAGCGCGCGCGCAATCTTATGCATCTCACTCGAGCATCCAGCGACGGTCGTTGTTGCGGACACGAACGGAATGAACGTCGCCCTTTAGGCTGGGTCAAACCGACAAGGCTTTAGCATGTGTGCATATCGTGGGAACACCTGAAAGGTGGTATCAGGACAGGCTGGCCATAAGATTGTAATTGAGTATGTCCAGTACTCTTCCTCCAGAACGCTGCCGTGCTGTTGAAGCCCGTCATGTTGACGTTGCAGTCACGTCTGTGGCGGATTGCCAATGCGCAGCGGACCGGATGTGACGGATATTGGCTATACTCCCGCACGACTAAGATGTCTTCGCATCCTGATGTCTTCCAAGTCTTCGAGGGTGTCTTGCTGACATGTCAATGCGTCCATGGAGAAGGGTCTTCGGATGCAGGCGCTATGATCGCTGGCAAGCTTAGCGTTCGAGATTCAAGTGGAGCTCATTATTCCGCCGACGCTTGAGAAATACCGCCATTCAGACGAAAGCGCTAGACTCAACACATGCAGCACCAAGCATTCGGGCGGTCTCGTATACATGGCTTGGGAGGCTTATCTTCACAAATTTTGAGCCGCATGTTGTAGCGTCGCGCAACGAAAACACCATTAAGAATGCTCGCAAAGGCCGCAACGGCTCTGTCTCATGAGTATGCAGCAACCGAGTCGGACAGTAGGCCTGAACGATCCCAAAGACGAAAAAATGACTGGTGGAAGAACAGATAAATGGGTCTGCGGAGGCCAAAGGTGGAGTCTGGGGTCGGACAGGTTCCTCCACATGATAACGACGCAATACTCGGGGACAGCACTGCCGGTGGTGCCACCCTCGGCGTCTGGTGTTTTGACCTAGGTATTTATTGAAAAGCCTACCTCGCTCTCTTTGTACGCAGACAAGTCAACCCAGAAAGCTGCGACGACATAACCAAGATGCCGTCCAAATTCTTCAAGAACCGCAGGGTCTATCTACTGACCAGTGTTGCCTACATGGGCTCGCTACTGTTCGGTAGGCGCCCGCTGTCTCCATTCCTGAGCAAGAGCTAACACCATGGAAGGTTATGACACCGGAGTAATGGGCAGTGTGCTCGCGCTCAAAGCTTTCAAACAGGACTTCGGCTTGCCAACAGACTCGTCTGGATTCTCCGACTCGAAAAATGCATCAGTATCGTCGAACGTCGTATCGCTTCTTACTGCAGGTTGCTTTTTCGGTGCCATCGGGGCCGCTTGGATCAACGAACGGTTCGGTCGACGATTGTCTCTTATGGGCTTCTCCCTCGTCTTCCTTATCGGTGCCGCAATCCAGACTGCCGCTCATCATGAGATTGGCGTGATCTACGCAGGTCGCGTCATCGCAGGGCTCGGCATTGGAGGTATGTCATCCATTACCCCGGTATTCGTCTCGGAAAATGCTCCTCCAGCTCTTCGAGGACGTATCGCTGGTCTCTTCCAGGAGTTCCTGGTCATTGGTAGCACTTTTGCGTACTGGCTAGATTACGGTGTTGCGCTCCACATGCCCACATCAACGAAACAATGGAGAGTGCCCGTATCGATTCAACTCATCCCAGGTGGTTTCATGTTGATCGGGCTTTTCTTCCTCAAGGAGTCTCCACGGTGGTTGATGTCAAAGGGTCGACAAGAGGAAGCTGCACAATCTCTTGCGTTCATTCGCTGCGAGCAACCCGATAGCCCTGAGCTCCAAAAAGAGCTAGCCGAGATTCGCGCTGCAGTCGAAGAAGAGTTGAACCAGACTGAGGGCATAACATGGAAGGAGGTTCTCCTTCCGGGCAACCGATACCGATTCATCACTGGTTTCGTGTTGATGTTCTGGCAGCAGTTCAGCGGAACAAACTCAATCGGTAAGATGAAGATCTTTAGAGCTGAACTTCGCCATCTGACCCTCCTTCAGGCTACTACGCTCCTCAAATCTTCCAGACCATTGGTGTATCAGCAGCTAACGCTTCGCTGTTCGCAACGGGTATCTATGGCACAGTCAAAGTAATCACGACTGGAATCTTCTTGATCGTTGGTATCGACTTCATTGGCCGGAAGTACTCGCTCATGGCTGGCGCGGCATGGATGGCGTCCATGATGTTCATCATCGGCGCTGTTCTTGCTACGAACCCACCAAACCCAGATTCTGGATCAGTCTCGTCCGCCTCCATCGCCATGGTCGCCATGATCTACCTTTATGTCATCGGCTACTCGGCTTCTTGGGGTCCCGTCCCATGGGTTTACCTTGGGGAGATCTTCCCAACCCGACTTCGTTCGTATGGTGTGGGAATGGGAGCAGCAACACAATGGCTCTTCAATTTCGTCATTACGAAGATTACACCCGCTGCAATCAACTCCATCGGGTAAGACAATGACTCTACAAACTGCATACAAGACATGCACTGACATCGTCATTTGCAGGTGGAAAACATTCCTCATGTTCGGCATCTTTTGTCTCTCCATGGGCATCTTTGCTACATTTTTCATCAAAGAGACGAAAGGAAAGACACTTGAGGAGATTGACATCCTGTTCGGTGACGTGTCGGCTGATCAGCGTCGCCAGGATGTCGAGGCGGGTATGAAGGAGGAGCAGCGAAAGCACTCGGTGAAGTACATGGAGGATGCTACCGAGCTGGATGACAGGACAGGCAAGGACTGAGCAGTGCTTGCAGATCGATACCGAGGATTGCGCCGTTCTGTAGATGGATGAACATGTTCAGCAGACAATGGCGAAACTTGGCGACACGCTGTAGCCGGACTCAACCTAAGAGTCTTTTTGCCTGGGTTTGACGTGCGCATCAATCGCGTATCTCTGTCAAGACGGGAAGACGATAAGCCATTTGATCTGCCGGATGTCGATGCGATGGGGGACGATGAGACCGTTTTGGGAGGCGGAACAGGTGGGGGCTTGGTCAACACCCAAAGGGGCTAGCGTCGTTATCACAGGGGCAATCGTGCGCAAGAACTTTTGAAGCCTCCCACATTTCGACGCGCTCCTTCGTCTTCGCATCACGGCCAGCATGAGTTTCATCACACCATGAGTGCTGCATCAATTTCGAACATGCTGCCATCATTCCCGCTTCCATATCGACATCCATTTGCATCATGTGTCCCACAAGGCGATTCTGTACGCCCAGTGTGGGGAGACCCCGAAGTCAGCTTTCACGCGTTCAAAGGCTCTTATCGCAGGTTTAGTTCATTCTGATTCGCTTGTTACGACCAACAGGAAGACTCAGTATGCAGCCTCGCAGCCCTCAGCATCGACCGTTTACCATGATGTCGGAACCACTGTATGATTACGGACGCCACAAAAGCCTCACAACCTTCGCGATATGCGCGACGTATTGATCACACGAGATGCACAGCGAAACCAGACCGGGTAAAGCTACATGGCTGCATGCTGACTGTGCGCCCGATATGGCAATACGTCTGGGCCGGCCCGTATCGTATGGCCAAGACGAGAACTGGGCTGCATCGTATGAGGCAGTACGAGTCAAGAGACGGGGACGCAGTCTTTGCATCACCTCAAACCTCAGGCTACCACCAGCCTGGACATATGTGGGGCATTTCATGGGCATTAGAGAAGGGGGGTGTCGCCAGTGCTGTTACTAGAAGCTGGTATAAGGCGCTGGCATGATAGCCTCCAAGAGAGCAAGCTTCAACTCGAAGCTTTTGAACATCGTTAATTTCATTCCGTATTCGCGCTTTCCAAAATGGTCTTCGGGTCCTTGCTTCTTTCAAGCTTTCTTGCGGCGCAAGCTGCCTATGCGTACAACTTCCCATATGAGGGTATACAGCTGACGGATTCGGATGTGGGGACAAACCCTGACTTGGCTTTCGGTAAAGCAAACACGAGCAACATACCTTCTTGCAAGAGCTATCCAGGCTACGACGGCTGGCCATCATCGACGCAGTGGAGTGCCCTGAACATCAGTCTTGGAGGGACATTGCTTAAGGGCATTCCGCCCGCTGCTGCCTGCTATGAGGGCGAGTACAAGGATACCGCAAAGTGTTCAAACGTCAGGCGACGTCAAAGCGATGCTCTCTTCGCGTATGGACTTGGAAACCTTACCATCAGTCGAAAGCTAACTTATTCCATCTAGCAAGGAAGACCCACTGGTACCGTTTGGGCAGTGGACCTTACATAATCCATGCCCCGTACCTGCAGCTAGCGCCACGCCTCCGCTGTCTGGCTGCAAACTCGTCAGCTTCCCTGCATTTGTCGTCAATGCTACTACAGTCAAAGACGTGCAGCTCGCAGTCAACTTTGCCAGGAACAACAATATCCGGTTGACGATCAAGTACGTCCTCAGGAAAGATACCAGCCCCAAACTGAACTTTGTAGAAATACCGGCCATGACTTCCTCGGCCGAAACACCGGCGGTGGCGCACTTCAAGTCTGGGTGCATCGCATGAAAGCATTCGAGTACTTACCGACGTACGAGGTTGGTCAGTACAGTGGTCAAGCGGCCCGAGTTGGAGCAGCGCTAGAACAACATGAAGTCTACGACGCCATGAGTACATATGGCATAACGCTTCTAGCTCCAGGGTCTTCTACTGTTGGAGCGTATGGCGGTTATATGCAAGGTGGAGGATTCGCGTACATCACTTCAAAGTATGGCCTGATGGCAGACCAGGTACTTGCCTTAGAGCTTGTTACCGCGGACGGCAGATTTGTGCATGCAGATCCGATGGAGAACGCGGACCTATTCTTCGCTATTAGAGGTGGTGGACCCGGTAAGCTTCCACAGTACCATCGCAACTATCTTTGATACTGACTAATAGCAAAGGAAACTTCGGCATCGTTACATCTGCGATTGTAAAAGCGTATCCGCCCACGACGGTCGCACGAAGTGACTTCACATTCCAGACCGGCCCAGTGTCCGGTAACGACAAGACCACCGTTCGCGTATCTAATGAAACCTTCTGGAAAGGTATGAAGGTCTACTTCTCGCACAATCTACGCATCAATGACGCAAAAGGCATCATGTCAAACTACATTACCAAGGCCTCTGGTACCTTCACCCTATCAAATCAAATTACCAAGCCGGGAGTCACCGTCGAAGACATGAAAAAGCTCATGGCGCCGCTCATCAAAGATCTCAACGACGTTGGCATTTTACTAGTCAACCCCGAGCCAAAGTTCTGGAGCACATATGCAAAATTCGGTACCCTACCCGGCGGCCCAAGCGGTGGTATTAGTAACAGCCGTCTTGTGAGCCGGCTTGTTCCCCGATCCAACTTCGAAGACCCAACCTCCCAGACATTCAATACCACCATGGCAGCGATCCGCTCATTCGTGGAAGAAGGCGGCTACAGCTTCCACTCCGTCGACTACGCACCAACACTCGAAACAGCCGGCTATCCCGGCTCAGACTCTGCTGTCTCGCCGCACCTGCGCAACGCAGTCATGCACATGACCGGCTTCGATAGTCGGCAGTACGATGCTAGCCTCTCTGACGAGCTCTGGAAGTCATCGCATGCTCGCCTCAACTCCTACGTACAGAAGCTGAGAGATGCGACGCCGCTCAGCGGTGCTTATATGAACGAGGCGGATGTTGCGGAGCCGAACTTTCAGTATAGTATGTATGGTGATAACTACGATAGGCTGCTGAAGATCAAGAAGGAAAGAGATCCTTGGGGGTTGTTCTATGCGGTTACGGGTGTGGGTAGCGAGGATTGGTATGTCGAAGGGACAGGAGGGTTGCCTACTCAGCAGGGACGACTATGTAGGATTGATGCATAGGGTATTTCGGCTCAAGGGCTCGTCAGATGTTGTATTTCTCCCTTCTTTGTAGAATGTCTCTGACTCCTAATGTCGTCCGCCTGTTGGTGGCCGACGGTCAATCATGTACTTTCACTGGGGCTTGAGGGTGTTTAGCTTTACATCTGATCTCGAGAAATAGGTGTCATGTACATTTCGCTCGGCCGCGGACTCTACTTGCGCTAATTCTGAGTCAACTTCCGGTTAATGAAAGCAGTCTCACTGTACCTAGGTATACATCTGTTTGTCTTGTCAGCTGTCTTTCACTTTGCTGGCTCGTGCTCAGGCTTGGCGTTCATACAAACAATTGCGTCGCCCTTTCTGCACTATTTCTTCTGATAACCCAACCTCCGCGCTTTACCTATCGATCGCGTTCGATTATCAACAAGCTCAAACAATCGCCATGGACAACACATCCTTTCCTCCACTCGAACAGGGCCAGTCCGCCCGCGTCTTGGGCGTCGTGGAGATGCTCGAGAACATACTACTCAATCTCAGCTCCGCCGATACTCTAAAGAATGCACAAGGGGTCTCAAAGTTCTGGCGAGAGGTTGTTCAAGGATCAAATGCACTTAAGAAGAAGTGCTTCTTGATCGCCGACGAGATGAGCGAAGAGGAAACAGACCGTCGGTTGTTTCTGGGGGCGCATCTTCCAGACTTGAGTAACCCCCTACTTGCAAGATGGAGCCAGTTTGGAGACCTTGAGGAACTTTGTCAACTGACAAAGGTGACTCCGGGTACTCTTCGCGCACTATTCGCCGACGACCCGACAGCCAACAACCTCTTTCTTATCTCTTCTATATTTAATAGGCAGATTTAGTTATTATATATCTTGTATGTATTACAAGAGTTGTAAGTAGCTTATTATTAATAAGTTATTATAGTACTATAAAATAGAATAAGACTAGATTTTAAGATTTTTATATATATATAAGTTAAAGAAGAGTATAGAAGCTTTATCTTTATAACTCTACTTTCTCTCTTATACATAATATATAAAATAATAGTATACCTCTTACTTTTTTAGTCTTTTATTACTTTTATATAGAACTTAAATAATACTACTATTACTATTACTACTTTTATTTTCTCTAATATTATTACTATTACTTCTCTATATAGAAAATAAGCTCTTAAGTATTTAGTAATTTTATAAGCTCTCTAGTATCTTTTTTATATAAGTATATATACTAAAGAGTTACGTAGTTTAAGAATATATAGCTACTTCTTAGATACTTTATTAAGTAAGTAATACTACTATATTTTTTATAAGTTATGCTAATGTCTTAGGCTTTATACTAATAGCCTAAACCTTTATCTAAAATAAGTAAGTAATAGTATATAAGCTATTAACTTAGATAGAATACTTAGTATACTAGCCTACTTATAAAAAGTAGCTACTTATATATTAGGACTACTTTAGTAGTAACGTTAAACGCTAAAATAAAATAAATACTATACTTACTCTATATAACGTGTAGGTAAAGATGTAAAAGAATATATAGGCTTAAATAATAATACTAAAGAAGATATAGAATATTAGATAGATAATAAATAATAGAATATATAAATATTTATATTGTAGATAAAGCGTTTAGAGCGTGTGTAACGTGTATTAACAGCCGACGAACCAGATGCTATCCGCCGACTACAATACAAAGTGGGCATCCAGGACTATTTCGAGACGCTTAATGACGATAAAGAGATCATACCTCTGACGATCAACGTGGGCCGTCAGTGTCGCGGCTTTTGGCCTGATGATGAATACGACCCGCGAACCTGCGAGTCGCTGCTTGACATGTCACGGTTGAACCCGCTGCTTCGCCGATCGTGGACAGGGAAAGCGTCCGCTATCTTCACCGGCCACGAGAAACACATGATCTTCTTACTGGGCGACAACTTCAACGAGGGCTGCGAGTACTTCACATACATTCGGGAATTTCTGGAAACCTTCGCAAATGCCATGAGCACCGATGCGTCAAGACGGCCCTGGAGAACGGTTCAGATCAGTTCACCTGCCGTCACGAAACTTACCATCATGACCACTCTACCTGGGTGGTTCGGCGATGGAACTCACGATTATCTCGGTGATACTGGTATCACGATGCTTGACTTCGCGCACGTGTTCATCTGGACGATCCGGAAAGCTTTGGAAGCCTATTCACCGGCTGATCTGGAGTACTGGATGGGTCAAATGCGTTCGTTCAAGCGAGGTGGCAGGACATGGAGGAGCTACATGCGCTCATACAAGAAAGAGCGAGACCTCATCGAAAAGTTGATGGACCGAATTGACGACATGAAGGGTATATGGTAGTATCGCTGGAGATTATTGGTTCACTATAGTCACGACCTCTAGGTCTGAGAGACGTGTTGGTACATTGTCTGTAACATCTGTGCAACTTCTGATACGAATATGAACTCTCCTCTACAGAGTCAGGTGCCTCAAGCACTACTAAGTTTGAATAACTTATATTTCGCAACTCTTCCCCTAACCTATAACAGTGAAGATCGACCCATGTTTATGGCGCCTTGCCCGCATAATCAGATGTGATCCTGACTACGTTGACCAACCGTCGGATAACCGTTAGCTATAGCGTCCCAACTCCTTCAGGCTTCGGAAAAGCCTTGCAAAGTTTTTAGGCGCTCACGTAGAAGTAACCGACAGGGTCCAGTAGTCTCGTGAGCTCGTTAGCCGCCGCGAGATCTTGTTGGGGGACGTAGAGCGCGTTAGAACTCCCAGCGAATTCGAGCCGCTCGACGAAGTACCTGGCGAGAAGTATCAGAAGATCGTCAACCAGTACACCAGTAGCGCGACGGAAGCTTTTGAAGCGATGAACAAAGTGTACCCGGGTAGAGCGGTTTGAGATCTCCCAGTGCATGACCAAGCTGACGGTGGTGAAGGCGGGATTCGAGAGCGTAGATTTGATCCAACTAGCAGTAGGGCTTTTCTGTATCTGGAACAATATGTTCTCGATTGCTCGCGAGATTTTGGTAGAGGAGAGGCCCAATTTCGAAAGGGGTAAGGGGTCCTCCATGAAGACTATTGCATGGGAGCCAAAGCCAGTCCAAAAGAACCCATCCTTGATCCAAAGATTGTGGGCAATGAATGGGTGTATCACTGACGGACGGACTTGGGTTATAGGCGCTTCCCAGTCCCAACTTCGACTTCCGGGGTTTAACCTTGGGAGCCGATCTTTGCCTGATGGAATCAAAGCTCTGCTGACCGTAGCTTGATCTACGTAGTAGGAGTCCGCAGGAACAAAACATCTGATGTCTGCGAGATTCAGAAAAATAAAAGGTCGGTATTTGTATCCAGGGATAAGGACTCCTCCGCGCCCCTCATGAGATCCATACGCGGGAAAGATGTGGCTTAAGGGGTAGTAGAGCTTGCTATCGGCTTCATCTTCTTCGACTCGGTTGGCGTCAAGCAAGAAGATCTGTCTGAGAACGGACGATCTGTTGATGCAGTTATAGAAGGTACTGGACACCATCTGTTTGTTCGACAAAGCATCGGTCGGGCTGAGGTGTTGCAAAATATTCTCGAGAAGTTCCGCGATGCCCAGGGCTTGTTGAGTAGCGGTAAGCGTTGACGCCATCTTGACGGTGGTAATGTGTAGGTGATGAGCTACACTTTCGACTTCTGTGGATTTTCGGACGACGTGTCAAGAGCAGGTCGGCACAGGAGTGAGGAAATGGAGGCCAGGAAGGAAATTTCAGCACGTCGTGACTGTGTCATCAGCGTACGGTGCGGGTGGCTTCCTCTCGCTACCAGGGAATGTCAACAGGCCTTTCAAACCCGCACAGCTCGCAAAGACGAGCATGCCGCGCGAAACATCGGTAGCGCAGCAATTCGCCATGCGTTGAAAGCGGTACCGATATATTTCACATGGCGAGGCTGGGTAAGAACGCGCTGCGCGAACGCGTAACGGTTGTGATCATCGCTCAAATCGATGCAACATCGTACATGCGCATTGAATTCGCGATAAATACGAGGCGATAATGATGGTAATTATAGAGGAAGAGATGCGAAGGAGTAGTACGTTCGATCGAATTAAGGTGACGCGATGCACGCGTCTCAGGAATTAGCGCCGGAGTTTTGCCGCCTCCGAAGGAAGCCACCAGCTGCGTGCCATCCCCTCCCACCTTCAACCCCCAGCAGTGAGTCTACACCTGCTTCCGTCCCCGATAGTCAATACATGTATCATTCGGGCTAAGCAAATGGTCTCTCTGTTCTACCACCATCGATTACATCCATAATAGACCATCACGATGTACCGCAGTCTTACAACACCAGCATTATCGCCGTCATCACACCGGCCGCCCATCCCACCATCCTAGCACTGATATCAGCCCCAGCACTATCCCACGGCGTCTGTTCCTCTGGTACACGGCTTCCCTCCACTGTGTTGTTCGCATTCATACACACGAACTCGACGCTGGTCTGCACCAGATTCGAATCCGGGTCAACAAATCGTCCCAGTAGCACGACTGGAATCGTCTGGCGCGTTAAGAGATCATACGTCTCATTCGCAGCGGCATAGAAGTTATCGGACGGGCTGACGCCTGCGTTTGTCCCGAACGTGTTGTAATTGTCTGGAATTTGCACCTCCTCGGGTATGTTGTTGTAGGCGCACGTGCCGTTGGTCACGTCTTGACGGACCGTGTCTGTGCGACCTTGTCAGCTATATGTACAAAGGCTGCAGCTTCCGAGCCGCAAGTCAATCGTATCTGTTCTGTGCAGGGGAAGGAAAAACAAAGTGCATATAGAAGGTTTGTACAGGGGCAAGGGAAGGAACGTACTGTGTGAGCCGCCACTCAACATTGGGCACGCCTTCTTGAACTCATCTGATACGGACGAAGTATCTTTACTAGGACAGTAATTCGAGGTACCAGAGGTATCACTAAGTGCCTTGTTCAGGTGGTCCATGCAGTCGGAGCTGATCACACCGCTACAGCTATTCTCCCCTCCGGCTTCTAACGTCGCATTAATGTTGCTCCACTGATACTTGCAGAGCTCGGTATTGTTGGGCACGTTTCCAGGTACGGAGATGTAAACATGTCCTCTGAGATCGTCATAGCGAGATCCGACGAGGACAGAGACATACCACGGGTCATCGCCGGCGTAGGAGGAGTTCCAAGTAAATTCGTGCTGGCCGGTTGAGTTCACGGCCGTGAATTCGTCGAAAAAGCCTCGACAGGAGGAGTTTTGCGCATTGACGACCGCTGTGGTGAGGAGTCCTGATATCGTAAGGAGCAGCAACTTTGGATTGTCATATGTCCACATATTGACGTAGCATAAGGGTAAAGCCGTAGACGTTTGATCGTTTGGACTTGCGAGAATGCATCTATATATACGTGGCGCGGTTAGGCACCCTATGGGAATGACGCACTAGCCAAGAGTGTGGTTAATACGGACGCGATCGACAGAGCTCGGCATGCCTTACCCGCCTAAACGAACATTGTGTGGCAGTAAATCCATGTCGCAATGAAGTTAACAATTTGCAATCAATTGCGCTACGCTGGCGGAGAGCAGTGCCCGTAAGCGCTGGGGCCGACTCAATCCTGCGCTAACGGATACTCCGACGGCGCAATAGTACTACAACATGAAGGTTTCCCCGCAACAATGCTCTACATAAGGAACTACGATACATTGTAGTCTAATACTAGAAGGAGAACAACAACGAAAGCAAGAAAAATGAAGATATGCCATCCATCAAAACCCAGCGATCAACCTGCTCCTTGCCATGCCGCCTACATCGCTCTTGCGCTTCGGCTTCTGCGGCAGGTCGTCAACAATGAAGTCGTCAAGTCCATTCTCATCCTCGTCATCGTCGTGCGCATCCTTCATGTCGTTGGCAACACTCGTCTTGACAAACTTCCTATCGCCGGATGATGCCTTGTTGGCGCCAGTTTTCCTCGAGCGCGGCGGCAATGATGGCGCACCCTTGGACTTGGACTTCTTAGGGGCAGAAGAGCAACCAGAATCGATGTTGTCGCTTCTCTTTCGCTTCCGCTGCTCTTGCTCTTTGGCTTTAGCAGCCATGTTCTTAGCCTGCTTCTTCTCCCATACCAGCTTCTCGGCCTTGACGCGCGCATCTCGTTTCGCCTTCTTATGCATCTCACGGGTCGCTTTTTGCTGCTTCGCCTCCGCTTCAGCTCGCTTAAGCTTCAGTTCCTGGTTGTAGAGCTTCACTTCACCCTGTGCAAAGTCGGCGGCTCTGAAGCGGCAACCGAGTACCTCCATTATCTTGGCGTAGGCCTCGTCGTCGATGATCAAAATGTCTACGAGGTATGTCCTATCCCTGTTGTCGATCTCAAGCCCTCGAATCTGCGCTTCCTCGAGAAGCTCTTGTTGCTTCATTACCCCGTATGAGGGTTTTGCTAGGCGCTTTGGCTCTCTCCATGGATTGTGCGCAACAGCCATGTACCGATCGATGGCTTGACGCTGTTGCGGGTGACGAGAGACTGCGCGCTGTCGAAGTGATGGTGTCGAAGTTGATGTAGTCTCAGCGACGGTACGCTTTCGCGCAATCGCTGACTTGACCTGGTTTGTATTCTTCTTAACGGAGGGTTCCACGCCGTTGATCTCTGCGATGAGCGATGTAAACATCTTGGTAGTGTGAAAGGTTAGCTGAGATGGGGGAGTGTTTGTTGTTACGGCGACTTGATTGTTGAAAGTAATCCAAGAGGTTCAGAAGCGGTCAGTTGAAAAGGAGAGGCAAGTGGGCGGCGAAGAAGGAAGGGCCTGCATTCATTAGGGAGAGCTCTCACTCAGGTTAGTGGGTGCAGGTGATGTGAGACCAAGTCTCTGGAAGTGAAAGTGAATGTACCATGTTCGGAGAGTGCGGCAGAGCACGGGGAAGGGCAAGTGGGGAAATCATTTTCACAGCGTGGGCAAAACTGTAGTCATCAACGGCATTGTAAGAGGTCTGGTAGTAACATTGGTTGAGTGAAGACGACTTCGTTGGCGAAACTGTGGAACGACTACACCAACACCAATGAGCTTTCTGTGATGACCCCAACCAACTTCAAAACAAGCGGTTCACCTTCAAGCCCCTGACCTTTCACCATCTCAGCATACCACCTGACCTCCCTCCTGCGAAGCGGCGATGGAAATATCCATAACTTCGCCTTCATCCTCCTCCTCATACGCCCTACACTGGGCGATCCATGCCCTCTTGTCTTCCTCCTCCTCCACCCTCCTCTGCTCCTTCCCCTCCTTCCATGCCCTTCTCTCCTCGGTCATGAGACACACCAATCTGATTCTCAGTTTCCATTCACTCAAGCTCTTTTCCTCTCCCTCGTCGAGGTGTTCTCGTTTGAGGAGTTCATGCTGCATTTGCAGCACCGTCATTTCGTTCCAGCGCGACAGGCGCGACAGTGTGGCGCCTTGGTGGTAGTATAGTGTGTCTGCTAGATGGTGCAGACTCACGCCGCGGCGCCGTTGTTGCATCAAGATGCGATGTTGAGCGGGGTGAAGCGTCGCGAAGACGGCTTGGAGAGTGCGGTAGGGGAGGAACTTGAAAGCGAGTTTGATGAGCTTTTCGGGTGCCAGTCCGTGGACGGTTGATAGGCGTTGGCAAGACATGTTGTGGTTTTGGGTTGTGCTTGCTTGTATTGTGGATGTGGTTGCGTGTTGCAAGAAGAGTTTGGAATAGTATGTCTTTGGGCTTTGGGACATGTGTGGATGTAATTGAATGGAAGGATGGAGGAGGCAGGAGATGTGAGTTTATATACTATCTAAAGAACATTGTAGAAGAGAAATGGTATCGCGTGCGTCCCGTGTTTGCGCATCCAAAACATGAGCAGATAGACTCACCCTGACCATATGACCTTGTACCTCTACCAGTAGTAAGTATCCTTATTCCTCTTAGACAGCCAGTCGCAAGACCAAAGAATAATCCAACATATCCAAGTGGCACTTTAAGCGAGCAAAACGCATCAGTGCCAGACACGCAGTGACTCACAATGCGTAGCATTGAGTCAAGGTGAGGATCGTTATCTGGTTCAGGCTCCTGCTACCGGACAATGACTACAGTCTGGCAGTAGACTAGTCTATTCTGCCAAGGCCGACACACGGTTCACTATGCGAGACCATGGTTGCCAAAAAGATGTAGTCTTCGTGTATCGCACTGAGTCTTTCAGAAAGGTAGCCTATAGAACTGCTGCCAATATTGATGTTCAGCGCAAATGTGCTCTCGGTCATTACCTCCGTACGCGAACAGATGACGCGCTCGAGCTTAGCGAACTGAGATTGCGATCACGAGTCCTACCCTGCAGCCTGTTCTCTTGCTATTATTAATCCCCACAGTCTGGCAGGAGTGCGCTGATATCGGTGTTGACCAATTCTATTGCGAGGTTAAAGCAATGCAACGCTGGTTGGGTGCCGGCAATGGTTTTTGGGTTCCTCCCAACACAGTGTTTCTCTTTTGCCGCCAAACATTCATCTAGAGAATGCATCCAGAAATTCCAAAGTCCAAGTCTTTACTGACCTCCGTGTAGCAGTCTAATGCAGCGGAGGTGGGTGGCCGCATCGAATGCTGTCAGTCGTCGCTGAGCTACTGGAGATATTCTTTGACGTATCGTCTTTCCGACTATCGCCTTTTGACATCGGAAGCATTTCGTTTAGAATTTGATATATGGGTCGCATGCCGTCAAACGTGGTGTAAGTTCCGCGATGTCGGAAAGCTGCTGTCTGCCAACCGTGGTACGCCCGAGCGTCGGCAAATTTTGCTCTTCGTACACGAGGCTGTCTGTTCGTTTCGAACGTTCGGAAGCGGTGGTAATGCGTGTGACCGACCCAGATAAGAAGATAGGAGCAGTCGTAGTGATTCATCGTGAGACCTGTCACTTCTCTGTGCTGTCGGCGCTTCCACCCTTGGAACGCAAATCATACGTCTTGTCAACTGCTATAAAGCGCCTTTGTGCACGTTTCCTCACGGCTTCCTCTTTCCGTCCCGTTTCTTTCTGTTTAGCGTCGAGACGTTCTTGTTCGAGAGCTTTGAGATACTCTGCCTTCCTGAAAGCTGAGGGCCAGCCATACTCTTTCAGTAAGCGCTTGGGTAGCTGTTCATTCGCTTGATGAGTCTTTGGGTCACGTTTGCCGAGAAGATCGCACTCACCTGTGCATTGTTGTCTCGATGATCCACCATCTCGTTGTACCATGCATAGCTACCTCGCGTCAATGGTACAGGAACGGTGACCAAGGTTTCGATCTCGTTGTAGAGCTCATCGAAGTATTGCTGAATCTCTTGAGGCTTTGCGGCTCGCCGCCAAGGCTGGTCTTCTGGGGCACTACGGTCCACAATGTACGGTCCCATGGGCCAGATTATTCCTAGTGAAACCTGTCAATATCCGGTGATACACGTTGTATGCGGCTCATACCTTGGTCCGTATCTATCATCCACACTGTCGCTTCGTTGCCCTGGCTCAACGGTATCATACCAGCAGGTATTTCCTCTCCCTCCCCGCATGGCGACATGTACCTGATAGCGTCCTTTTTGTATGCATCTTCCAGCCAGCCATAATTGCGAAGGTAATTGCATGCTTCCGTTACGACGTAGACCTCATATTTATCGTCAAACATATTCTTACTCAGATAAGGCAAGTGACGCAAGAGATCAGTGACTCGGTCCGACCGTTTCCACTCTTGTAATGTGTCAACAGCGAGCTGCTCATCACTCCAACCTTCAGGCGGCGGGCGGAGGATCGTGTCCGGGTCGAGGTAGGCCATGCGCACGAGCAAATCATAGTGCCTCTTGATGCAACTGACGACTACATCGCGATCGTAAGGCATGGTGTGGATGATGGGGTTGTAGTGTAACGCTAGCCAACTGGAGCGTGGCTAGATCAATTCTACCCGTGGTCCGCCTGAACATCGGCAAAAGTTGCCGCCGACGACCTCGGTCTGTTTGTCCTGTTTGCACGCGACGGCCTAACTTTATGGCCAGACAGCAACACTGAAACACTCCAACTCATACGACAACATACGCCCAACTCTCTCCAAGCTAATCGCATAATAATCAAACCACTTTCACGAAACCGCCATATCGCCGATATCCTCGAAACCGTCCCTTTCGCCGAAACCACCAGACCAGCGGTCAACGCCGCATACAAACGGACCTCACGAGCGGGCGGACAAGACACAGGGAGAACAACATGGGCGGCTACTTATCGACGTTTACAAAGCTGATATGGGCAAAGAAGGAGATACGGATATTGATTCTGGGGCTGGTAGGAAAACCTCAGCATGGCCAGTATGGGAGGCATTTCGCTGATTACAAATGCAGGATAACGCTGGAAAGACGACGCTACTATACAGACTGAAGGTACGCGATATCCAAGGAGGAGAGAAAGGAGACATGGCGATATGGGCATCCTTGATGTGGATGGTGAGGAGTACGCAGGCTAACGACCACGACAGATTGGCGAGGTAGTCACAACGATACCAACAATAGGCTTCAACGTCGAATCCGTCACATACAAGAACCTCAATTTCAACGTCTGGGTAAGTTCGCCTCCCCTCCCAATCACCCATAGCCACCATCTAACACCCCACCCCCCAGGACCTCGGCGGCCAAACCTCCATCCGCCCCTACTGGCGCTGCTACTACGCCAACACGGCGGCCGTAATCTTCGTAATCGACAGCACAGACATCGAGCGCCTCACCACCGCATCGGAAGAACTCCGCGCCATGCTCAACGAAGAAGAGCTACGCGACGCCGCCCTCCTCGTCTTCGCAAACAAACAAGATCAACCGGGTGCAAAGGGCGCGGGCGAGATCAGCGAGGCGCTCAAGTTGGGGGAACTCAAAGACCGGAATTGGAGTATTGTGGCTTGTAGTGCCGTGGATGGGCGGGGTGTCCAGGAGGGTATGGATTGGCTGGTGGGGAATGTTGGGGAGCAGAGTTAGGAAGGGATGGAGGGGATATGAGGATAAACGTGCGATGGGGATGAGGATGAGACGGGAGCGGGGACATATGACGCGGCACATACGCGTCAGAACGGATTATTATACCAGCATAATGGCGTCTCGGCGCTAGGGTTGTGAATACGGGGTGGGGAGTCAACGTCAGTAATTGCATGCGCGTTCTTCATGTCGATGAAAATGGAGATGCCATTATATCGTGTGACGACGCGTCTAATAAACCTCCCACGTCAGATCTCTACCTGGTCTCAGCCGCCCCTCAGTCCAATCCTTGCCAAAGACGTACGCGCTGCTGATCTCTTCTTCGTCGATGCCCAAGTGATCTTCGCCGTCTCTGCCTTGGAACCAGCCCAACGCGTATGTCTTCCCACTCTTCTCGAGATGCTTCGTCATCTCCCTTGAGTTCAGCTTTTCCGTGTCGATAAAGCTGAAGAGCATCTTGGACTGGTGGATGAACGCGAGGACGGAGGCCATGGTGCCGATTTCTCTGGGCATGAACTTCTGACTGCGCTTCGCATAGGTAAGGAGAGCGATGCCGATAAGATAGATCAGGATGAACATGGTGAGAATGAAGCTCCACCAGAAGCTGCGAAACGTTTGGTCTGTGTTCCATCGATCAGATGGATCGCTATCCTTGCCGTCATGGTTACTGTCCTCATTCTCACCGCCGAAACCGGGTATGAATTTCTTACCGTCGACGCTGAGCGAACTTACGCAGACGGTTAGGATTTCGGCAAAGATGGATCCCCAGGCGACGAGCATGACAAGGTAATGCCCGTTGAGGAAAGCTTCGAATGGTAGCCAGAGAGGATTTGTACCAGCATAGTCGAGTGTGAGAGTCTTGGCTGGGGCATGTCGAAGAGAAAGAATGTAAAACGGTTGGAGCATGCGCACGTCGCTATTCATAGTGTTCCAGAGTATGCGTATGACAGTCGCTATCCCAGTCATCATCCATGGCAGCTTTTGTGTGATTATGCCCGTCTCCTCGACAAATGTGAAGAGTGGTACCGCAACGGTGAATAGGAAGAGAAAGCCAATGAAGAGTACACCCGCCCACATTCGAAGCATGAGCGGTCTAGGATCAGAGCCTTGTTTGTGGATCTTTTCCTTGCTCTTTATGTATTCTCCTTGCCAAAGTGAGCTTTTGTGCAAGATGTATCTTCTTTGGCGAAGCTGCTTGTGGATTTGTGGCAAGGAAGCCTGGTCGAGGCCCTTAAAGTCCGTAAGAATGTGGCTTTTCGTAGCCATGGCAGCGATACCCGCAATGCCCTTGGGATCTGACTGCAAGCCGCTTTTTCTTTGCATCGCGTACATCAGCGCCCCGCCACAAGCTGCGACAATCAGAAGGCACGCGGAAAGCGCTCTAGACCAGACTGGTTCGACTCTCACGGCTTTCCAGTCGCCGAGGTCACGGGCCTCCTCGTCTGGCCACATAGTCATAGAAGCACTCTGCAAGACAGGTACAAGACTACTAGCGACCAATGTGCCCAGTGAGCTGTAAATGACGGCGTATTGCCTGTGACGAAGTGCTCTCAGTGGGACCAAGAAACTCAAGAAGGTTAAGTAGTCCATGTTCAGCGATTCTCCCGCTGTTGCGCCTGTTTTCTTGGATAGCTGGTAGAATGGCTCCAGACGTTTCACCTCGAAATCCGACATTTGCCAGAGGACGCCATAGAAGACCGAGATCATGATGGGCGCGTATTGCCAGGCGAAATATTGCGCGACGGACAAGCTGTTAACCTTCTCGAACGACCACAAACCGCCTCTATCAGGATGCTTTTTGACACTGCGTAAGGAAATCTGGCAAACATATTCTTGTACACCAGCAAGTGCAATTGCAAGGATGATGAGCATAAGAATCCACCACGAGCTCATAGTAAGGGGTCGCCATGCAGGCATCTGGGGATCTGCATGCGTGTTAGATCCTATCTCTCGACACGTACATGTAGGGAAACTTGCCTTCAGGAAAGAAGTAGCTAGTCTGTGCACCGCTGGAAATGAGACCAGCCTCAGCCGTCAGAGTTCTCATAGAGTCGAAGTCGCGAGCAACTCCTGTGAACTCGCTGATATCGACTGGGATATCTGCTGCAACAGCAACGACCTTGCCAGTATTTTCAGCCTCGTCTTGCGCTTTTTTGGCCTGCTCATCTACTACATCCGCTCTTGTTAGAATTCGTCGGTGGCCTGGAAAGAAGCCTGGTACTGGTCCAGCTGGGGTGTGCTCAAACGGAACATGGAGCACAGACGTCATTCCAGCTCCGAGTTGCGCCTCGAGACGCTCAAATTCTGCGGCATGACTAGCTTCATCCATGTCTCTATCACGCTCTTGCCCTTCATGTATGTCCTGTGTCCGCGATTGCGCCTCGAATGTTTTCAGCGGCAGACCGCCTAGCGAGCTCAGATCGTATCCGACTGCCTCGTCCCCCTCATCGACTCCCACAAGCCGTCTTCTGCCGGGTTGTGATTCTTCATCATCCAGTCGGTTGTAACGTCCCCCATGAGAGGCTCCCCTGTGCAACGATGCGATTCGGTCGAGGACCCGTTTGGTCCTACTGTTGCTCTTGCCCAACGACGGTGATGCGCGATCTTGAGTAAACACGCTCGCGACAGGGTTGTATGACGTTTCTTGCGCAAACGAGGGCGGCGCTGGAGCGCGGGGTATGCGATACGAGGGTTCTGCGGCCGGTAGCAGAGGCGAAGGAAACGACTGACGTCTTGATGCAGGGGTGCTGCTAGGAGATGCGATTGAGGCGACTGAGGACGGTCGGGACGGAAAGAGTTGCGAGAGCCTGTCGGAAGCGCCAGACGTGTTCTTGCGACGCAGTGGTGGCCGAGCGTGGATGGGCGGGGTATCGTCAGTTGTTGGAGAGCCAACGCGCAAAGCAGAAGGAACTGTGATATCGGAGATTCTCCTACTGCTCGGGGAGCCAACCTTGAGGGGTGATGGTACTCCTTCGACGGATGGTGACCGCATTTCGTTTCGTGTATGCGCGGCGTGCGCTCACGTTCTTGTACTGTACAATGATGTTTGCAATGTGTAGCGACCGTAGGACGAAAGCGAGCGAGGTTAAAGGAAAGAGAGAAGCCACGAAAAAAGGCGGGAAATCACCAAATCGCACAAGATGTTGCACGAGGCTGACGGTACCTTGCAGCCTATGCGTTGCACCGGTCAGCCTGGTTCCATCACACCAATATGCGCCCACGGATGCTTTCGCCCTACTCAGGCAGGAAAGGCTGCTCTAGTGCGGCACACCATGTGCAGTCCAGGCGAAGCGAACAGCTGTCGTGGAATCAAGCTCGCCGTGCCTTTGATTTGCGCTGGCGTCGCGGGGCTTGACGAGCCGCTCAGCCCTGTGCTGATCAACCCGCGTAACTCCAGACTGAAGGCTGATAGCCTGATGTTCGATGCCAGAAAGACGGCGTTGCGCAAAGGCGTCAGTAACGACGAAGGAGCTCAGAATGTTGAGCGTAACGATAGAGAATGCATCGCTTTACAAGCTGCAGCAATGCCATCACAACAATCGACCGGTCAGGATTTGGGGGCCAGCTGAGCTAAAAATACGGCGCTGTGCCGCTGCGGTCGAATGGCGTTCGAGTCTCGCCTGGCATTGCCGTCTGAGGCATGCCGGTGGCTTGCGATGGGGGCCAAAAACATCGTCATATCGTGTTGGGCACAACGACGGTCGCACGACGAATTACAGATTCGACGATGTTGGTGTTGAGCAGTTGGAGAAAGAAGGACCGGACTCGGAGCTTGAGGAAGCTCCTCTGATCGGCCCCGCTAGAGACGTCACGTGGACGTCCTTCTGGGCATGCGCTGACGGTAACAGCAAGCCCTCTGAGGCGACAACAACACCAGATCACCTGG